CAATAATAGTGCTTGAATAGTAACATTTGAAGTCACAATTAATTGTATGAAGCATAGTCCTTCATAAAAAATTCCTTTTTTAGTTGTGTGAAAAAAAAGTGTCTCTGGTGGGATTCGAAAATGTAGTCTTTTGCTAACAAGGCATTTATCATACTGTTAGACCAAAAGAACTATACAGTATAGATGCACATCTAAACTCCACACATTTGCTAATACAACTGATTTGTTTATCAGATAAACAACATTAACGCATATAATATTACAGGGCCCCAAATCCTCCATAACTTGCAGCGGTCTCCTGAAAATTGGGACAACTTTCGCACTCAAGCAAGAATCTCTTGCAAATTCATAATATTTGCATGTTTTCCCGTTTATTATCAATGGTGTCATGAAAATCAGTGCTAATTGGCATCACTGTGTGCTGTGAAATAAAATTAAATGTGCTAAGAAAGTTTATTTAACCTGATGGCAGATTTGGGGTTGGGGGGCAGCCCACCCAGGCCTTTTTCAAAATTACTTAAAAAATGGAGAAAAAAAGAAAATTATATTCAAATTTAAGTCTGAGAGTGCCATTTCTGGCCATGTAGAGGTGCCATAATCATAAATTTGTGGAAGTAAAATTCCTGGATCAGCCACTGCAAATCTCCCAGAAACTGACTGTTTCCAATTTGGGACCCGTTATATTATATCAAAAAAGATGCAATTCTGTAATTGAATTTAAGGAGATTTTTTTCCTGATTTTAACTAGATATATAACAAATCATCAGGCATGTGGATCAGTCGACCAGAAAACGTTTTTGAAGGTGTTCAATTCATTCAAAAATATACACCATTCAAACTTCTACAATCAATATTTAAATATTTCAATTGGGAAGCAGGATTGCAGATATTGGAATTTTTTGAAAGAGCAAAGTAAGTTTCATTTCTGTTTGTTTTTTTCAAATGATGATGGTGACGGTATTAATAATTAATAATATATGATACTATTATGATCAAAGTTAGTAAGTCGAACAATAAATATTTTACAATTTCTATTTTAGACTTGAGTTAAAAATAATAATAATAATAACAATAATAAAAATAATAATAATAATAATAACAATAATAATAATATATATAGGTTTTTAATAATAGCACCCTATAATTATCTCCCAAAGTGCTGTTAAAAATGTAATAAATAAAAAAACTGACAAATTAAATAGTGAAAAGATCCATTTTTAGGCAGTCCTTAAACATATTCAAGAACATTGCTTCCCTAATAATAAACTTAAATTAATTTAAACCACTTGTTCCTGTCTTTTTTCCAACAGTAAGGTTATTTGAGTTTATTTTGTCTGCATATAAATCTACATTTCGATCAACTAAAGTCTTCATCGTTTGGTGTCGTCATAATTTTTTTCATTTTGTACTCGCTTGTCTCAAAAGCTCTATCCAGATTATCAAATTTTATTTGACAAAAACATGTGATATGCCTAAATATGGTCATGATGACATCACATCACTACCATATATTTCAAGACATATTGCTTAATATTTTTTTGCATTTGACTTCTTTTTAATAGCGGATATTTTAGTGCGTTTTTGATTCCTTCCGACTTCGACGACACTTTCCTCAACATTGGTCTAGGAGCCTTGTTGAAAAACACAAAAGCATCGTTTCCCAAACTTTACAATATCTGGGCTAAGAACAATATGCATTACGAAACTGCATTTCGAGACCTTAAGAAGTACGCTTACCAACCAATGAATATTGATCTTGATGCGAATGCCATTGACACGAGAACTTACTACTACCTCAGAGGGTTTCTTGAAGAAGCAAAGAAAAATGGTCAAACTGTTTCTCTGGTCACAACCTGGGTAAGTTTTTTGACAATGAAGGAAACTTTTGTATATATTAAAGGTAATAGGGACATTATTTTAAAGCCTATCTATTAAAGTATTGTTACTAAATATTTTAGTAGTAAATAGTTGACTACTAACTACAAAAGCAGCATATTCCAGTCTGCTAAACCAGTGGTAGCCACTGTGTGAGCTGAATCGTGAACATTTACCCGGTTCAATTCCAACCAAGTACAGTATAAAAACATTGCACTGTCTTTTAGAAGAGACATTTAAGCCATTGGGTACTGTGTGCAATACGATCCATGCGCACGTTGAAGAACGTAGTAAACGCTTCGGAAAAGTGTAGGGGAGTGTGCTCACCAATCATTACAAAAGGTCCCCACTGGATATAAGTCTTCATACTTTTGGTGATGTCCTCACCAAAAAAAAAAAAAATCCAATCAAATCCAATGATTAATGGTTAGTGTAACTGTGTATGCCATTACAAGTACAGTGTACTTGAAGTCAAACTAAGCCTACAGCATGGGTCCCAAGTTGAAAGAAGTCAATCCAGGAAGTCTGCAGCCCAGGAATTAAAAATAAAGGAGGCCCAGGAAGGGACTTTCACAGATGGAGGGTCTATACCACCTTAGCTGAGGTAAGAAAATGTATGAATATATCATCTCTAGATGGCTAGAAATGGGACACTCAAACTTAAAATTTGAATATTTACTTTTTATTTCCATTTAAAAAAAAAAAAAAAAACTTTTTTTGGGGGGGGGGGGGCAGGCGGACCCTAGGCCCTCTTTGATTCCACGACTGATATATTCCCAGTAAGATATAGATTATTATTTTTTAAAAATCAAACATCTTTAATATGAAATAAATCTTCTATCTTATTTATTACAGGTTCAAAACATCACTGAAGAACGTTATCTCAGTTCTAGAGGAGTTAGTATGCCGTTTCACATCAACAATGTGGATACGACTGTAGCAGCAAATTCTATATATGGTCTTACTACAGCGGTACTCTTCAACTTATCATCAAGCAATTGGTTTGATATGGAAATACAGGTAGCTCTGTATTTGTAAATGTTTGTACGACTGTTCATATTTTTGTTGCGTACAGTATTACTGTATAAAGTGCAGTAAATACATTATATTGGTCAGATTATGATAGTATCATTATCTGATGGATTGAGTCATAGAAGCAAAAGATCTTTCTCCAGGGCTGTAACAATATTTCACAAATTGCAAAAATACATCATAAATCATGTCACTGTCTTATCCTTTGTTCATCCTTGTGTCAGTCTCACACTAGTTGCTAAGTAATGATCTCATATGATCTCATATTTTATCTCACTATTTTGGCATTGTCACTTTGTACATGATCTCACCTTCTTTGTCAATGATCTCATGAGCTATGTCATTCACTTTCTCATAAACCTGTAATTAACAAATAAAAAAGCAATTCACATTATTATTTTCATTGATGTTTATTGTTATAACTCTGTTATTTTAATAGAAAATTTGCATGTCATACATTAGGATTATTCTAATATATATAATGCAAGAAAACACATATTGCTTGTGCGTATCTATTCATTGTTACACTGAATATACTCTATACCGCTTTATCCAAACTATTACAATTTAAAATTACTTATAGAAATATACCTTGTGAAATTTTAAAACTATTGTAAATTGAAAATTTAAATTCTTTAAAATTTATATCCACATAGTATATATTATTATTATTATTATTATTATAAAATTAGTATAAATTATTTATTTTCAGACAATTTATGCCAATACAACAAGTTTGATTGAGTGGTTGATTGAGCATAACGTGATAGAGGAACGTCCCGACTTGGCGCTCACTTACTACCCGTCACGCTACAGTTTCTACTATTACGTAGCGCGCACTTTGTTCATCTTGGAAACACAGTATGTGTCTGAGGGTAATTTACCAATGGAAATTCTTAATCAAACTAGAACAAAATTTAAACGGGTGTTGCAAGGTAAAGCTAGTGAAATGATACTAAGCGAAGCCAATCCAGACGGTAATGGGTTGTACTTTGAAGAATTCCTTGGAAATGGAGACACAGATTTTTCAGGGGCGCCCATGGTGAGTTGTTATTTCTCAGAAAACATTACAATACAAATCGACATTGCAATTTCATTTCTTGTCATTTAAAAAAAAAAAAGGAAAAAAGCCAGCTAAAAGCTATCCTATACAATTTTATCCTTACAAAGATATACGTCAGTGTAAATCCTACCCACACAAATTTTATAGGTGTAATATGACATCATCACATCCATATATGGGCACATCACACAAATATGTCACATAAAATTTGACAGTGTGGACAGACCTTTAAGATTTATTTTAAGCTCTATACACACTATCAAATTGTATGTGACAGATTCTTGGAAAATATAATTCAATATTTGAATTATTTAATTTGTATTGAAAATAAGAAAACCAATTAACAAATGCATAAAAAAATATCATACTTATATTATTTGCAAAGCCCCTCAAATTGGCTGGTGACCACTTACAGTAGACCATTCAGAACAGAGCCAGGAATATGCTTTCGACCCACCAATGCATGTGTGTACATTTACACTATCGTTTTGTGGGACCTCACCAAAAATATCCAAGGGGTGGGGATTAGTGGAAACGTTCATTGGATATTCAAATTTTTCCCTGATTTCACTACAGACAGTAGAATTTTTCAGGAGACAGATGATTTATGATTTAGGTCAGCAATTATACTGTTTTTGATACAGTAGGACACCAAAAAAAACCCCCCATTCTCATTTACTGTTAATTTCTTAGAAACGAGGTGAGGACCGTTTGTTTTCCACTTCAATGGTTATTAACTTTTACATCGCTACGTGGGCAGTGCAGGACAAGACCACAGGCAAGCTGCATTGGACAGAGGGTAAGAGCCACCAAGTATACAGTAGGCCCTGATAAAATAGTAGGTACTATGGTGGCTGGGTATTCGATGGAACTAAAATTTCTGTAGAATAGACATGTCATAGGTGGGCAAAGTGCGGCCCGCTGGCCAAATGCGGCTCAATGAAAATTTTGTTGTGGCCCCTTAAAACGAACTTGTGAGCGACCTGCCTATCATCTTTGACAAGAAAATCCCCTTGTTGTTATGGTCCGATACCAATAATCTGTGAAAATTAATATTAAAACTGAGCAAAAAGCAGCATTTTTTCTGGAAAAGTCAAAGGTCAGATACGGCCCTCAGCGTTAAATCAAAAAGTCACTTTGGCCTATGCTCAACACTGTTATAGATCTTCATATGTGGCTGTCTTTAACCTTAGACCAAGTGTAAGTCCTTATCAGACGTTGGGTCTTTGATGGAACAAGAAGTTACTGCATGTAAGTACCTTGGACCAGATGTAGGTCCTATATTAATCCAGGCTGAGGGTACTATACCTTTGACCTTGTTTGATTCTCATTGGAAGCTGGATCTTTTATGGAATCTTGCAGAAATAAATCTACCAGGTATGGGTCCTCAATGGATAGAAGTACAGACCAACAGATCACCTGACCAAAAAAAAAAAGAAGAAAAGAATGAATATTGATACATGAGTACTACTATTTTTGTAAACAAAAAAACAATAAGCACAAAGAATTGACAAAAAAATATTATTTTTACAGGTACACCTAATGACATCAAGGAGGTCGTTGAAAAGGCTGTGAAGTGGTTGAACACTTACATTCTGGAAGATACTTACAAACCATTTGGTGCGTTCTTCTCTGGTTCATTTAAGGGGGAAGAGGTAAGAAATACCGCTTTTACGCTGCCCAGGGCAGAATCGACCAGGGTTAATTCCAAAGTAATCCTGGGTGCATTTCCCATTTACATCGAATGAAAAAGTCCGGGTTGATCCCAAGTTGCTCCTATTTTACACATGCAACGAAGTTGGATCCAAATACCGCCCTCAATTTTTGTCGCGATGGGGATCATCACTTCGCTCGAGTTCCTCGCCGTCACGTAGCTGCAATTATTATATAAATATTGACGCAACGTATCTGCAGATTGATTTTAAATTATGCGAATAAAATCAGCAGTTTTGATATCAAGTCTATACCGGAGCGTAGAGGGTTTAATTTGAAAAGTGTCTAGGCCTACCTGTTGTTAGCATAGCTTAGGCCTACCTGACTACAGCTGCGGTAGGCCCCAGGTTAGGCCTAATTCCAGAATCATTATTCAGTGCTGTTTATACTGGCGAATCCGGAATGCACTCGGGTTGTCCAAAGCTGAGTTTTGCATGCAGCGTAAAAGGGGTAAAATTTACTTGAAATTTGAACAAGAAAAAAAAAAAAACCTTTATTTAAAAGAGGAGAATGATGTCAGTCTCTATTTTTTCTAGCTATTACCAAGTCCCCTCTCTCGGTTGCTAACAATGACCAATTATTTTAAATCATATTTTTAATGGTTTTATATAATGTTTACTATGTCTCTTTTATTGTATTTTTAGAATTAACTGCTTTAATGATTTTTTGTCATATTTTAGTGTATTTGTTTTTTTTAATGTAATCTCTGTATTTAACTCTGTTTTAATATATACATTCATATAGTAACTTCTCTTTTGAATGCACCACAATAACTACAGGTGTCACTGACACAAAGATTAATATCATTATTATTTTTATTGATCACTACAATCTTTTTTTTTTTCCAGAGTGTGCCCTTTTATTTTCCAACCAATCACATTGAGTTTCTAAACGGCACAATACTACCTTCAAACACATCTAAATTTGATCGCAACATAGTCGTTGCTATGTCAGGGGTAATAGGTGAAGAGGAATATGAAGATCTTCTTAAGATAACTCATTTTGGCAAGATGACTCCAACAAACTTCACAGGATACAATGACCCAAATGCTGTGTTTCCCTTTTGGACATCTGATGCATATACTTATGCAAATACGCTATTAGCCCTTGCAAAATTCCAGAATTTAAATAGTTGATATTTCCTATACATGGAAGCATTGCATGTCAGGGGTGCAGGTTGGTTTTAGTCATGGGGGTGGGGGTGTGAAATGGTGGAGTGGGGGTTGGTGCTGTCTCTTATACACATCTAGATGTGTATAAGAGACAGGTACTATGGTGGCTGGGTATTCGATGGAACTAAAATTTCTGTAGAATAGACATGTCATAGGTGGGCAAAGTGCGGCCCGCTGGCCAAATGCGGCTCAATGAAAATTTTGTTGTGGCCCCTTAAAACGAACTTGTGAGCGACCTGCCTATCATCTTTGACAAGAAAATCCCCTTGTTGTTATGGTCCGATACCAATAATCTGTGAAAATTAATATTAAAACTGAGCAAAAAACAGCATTTTTTCTGGAAAAGTCAAAGGTCAGATACGGCCCTCAGCGTTAAATCAAAAAGTCACTTTGGCCTATGCTCAACACTGTTATAGATCTTCATATGTGGCTGTCTTTAACGTTAGACCAAGTGTAAGTCCTTATCAGACGTTGAGTCTTCGATGGAACAAGAAGTTACTGCATGTAAGTACCTTGGACCAGATGTAGGTCCTATATTAATCCAGACTGAGGGTACTATACCTTTGACCTTGTTTGGGTAGTCAATTATGTTAACAGCATTAAAAAATGTATAATTAATTTACCTTCCCGCTTTCATCGAAACCGCCAACATTATCAAAAACTTTCCGTGAGCAAAACCATGTAGGCATTAGTACTGTTGGTCCATGGGATGTGTAGATCTAAAGCAGACATACTGAAATTCAATTATCTCTTTACCTCATTTACCTGTTGACTAATTATAAAACAATAGAAGCAAAACCTACTTGATAATTTTAAGATTTTGTGAGACATTTGTAACATATCCTAGTTTTTATTAAAACACTTTCAGGTAACATATAGTAGTTATATAACATTCCTTGAATTAAAAAAATTGTAAAGATGAAAGGGATTATAGTACATTATACAATAATGTCTCCTGTTGTCCTGTCCTGTCCCCTGTTGTCCTGTCCTGTTCTGGCTTTGGTTTTTCTGTGTGTTTATTTCAGGGCAGCCCTATACAAGCTCCTCTTTCTGGGTTTCACCCCTCAAATTTGGCTGGTTATTTACTATTTGCATTATTATTACTTTTGAAAAATAAGTGTTCTTTTGAACTTGAAGCTGGTGCAGACACCACATATTTGGTGCAGACGACATAACTCATTATTCAACAAATTAACATTTGGCAATGAAGTACTGTAGATCTATTCGGTGTAAACACCAAGGATAACCCGTAAGTTTGAAGAAAACCTGTACACTGTGTTCTTTATCGTGAACATTGGCCAGAATGCTCACAGGACCAATGGCTTAAACATCTCACATTTGATACTTGCATTTCAGCCTCCAGCTGCAACACAAGATAAGAAGCAATGTGAATTGAACCAAAGACTAAGGGGTCTCCATGGTTCGGTGCACACACAATGGCTACCACCAGTTTAGCCGAGAGAGAGAGCTGGTGTAACCCTCACCTGAGTTAAAAGTTGATCTTGGTTCATTTCATTACACCATCGTGTGTAGCGTACAGTAGAATCCAAAGGTAGTCTTTGAACCTTGCATCCTATTATCTTTTCAGATAAAGAAAAAAAATCTATTAATAGCTATCACATGGGGAGGATTTAAAGCAGGTTTTATGTGGCCCTAATGCTTTATTTACACCTGCAATTGTAAATTGATGATTTGCAATATATGTATGTGAGTGCCAATAAATTAATTAAATATTTGGATTGCATACTTCATAATTAAGTAATTATTTATATATTCAAATTTAGAACCAGAAAACATTTTACTTTAAGTTAGCCTACCAATTAACATACACATATACAATAGTTTCTATATTAATTGCATATACCCTTACATTGCCTGGTAGTTGTAAGGATTTTTGTACATCTTTGAGACACCATAAGCTGAATTGTTTCAAGAACAAGCTACTGTGATTCATGATTATGTCACTTTCTTTAAAGTACCATACCACTATGTTCTGTGTTTTAGACGTCAATTTTACCAGCAAAAATAACTGGCCAACCAGGAAAAATTGTGTGTTGGTAAAATAAAAAAAAGATTTATTAGGCCTAGGTAGCCTAGGCTAGCTTTCTTTCAATAAATGAACATCATTCCAGTCCAGGCCTACTATGACAGTATATATATTGTTGTTTTGAGGCCACAGAACCCCACTTAAAAGGGATAACACCTCGCGCTGTGCATTTAGCTGGCTTTATATGGACAAAATAGTAACACTTTATAAGTGAACCTCATTGTTGTATCATACTACGTAAGTGATAAGATTGGGTCCTGGGAATAAGTCGTGGACTAAAACACATTAAAATAAAATAAACAGCAAAAAAAAACGTACACTATTTGGTTGGTGGACTGCAGCTTCATATTGCAATTTGATACGAAGAGGCTCCATTATATCATCCTTTTTAGTAACATGAAAATAGAGTTTGGTGGAATCAGAAATTAAAAATAAAAATTCAATCTTTTGGCTCACTTTTGACATAAGTGAAGTAAAATACATAAGATTAGAAAAAGTATCTTCACTTTACAATATATAGTTGAATGAGATATACAAATACATAAAATAAACAATGTTAGTCATTAAAATATTTACCCACATCAAATGCTCCTCACAGATGATTTATATTGTACAAGATTTATTAAAAACAACCTACGAACAATTTTTAAAACATATTAAATGTTTTCCCTATGGAGCTTGGCTTTAAATGGTACAGCCAGCTCCATTCTACTCCCAATGCGAAAATTAGTTAACTTACAGCGTCTTGGAAGCACAGGAAAGCTCCACGGCTATGAGCTACTGCTTGGTTTTTGGCAAAGCCAACTGCAATTTAAAATAAAAAGAGGAAAGTAACAACAATAAACTTTCATGTTATGAAAAGCATTGTTATAATTGATATGTGTTTACCTCCTTTAGGGGCATCAGAAGAGTGTCCATTTATAATCACATGGATGCCAGCATTGCTCAACCTATCTTTCCAGGAATTTATAATTGTTATTGAATCATCCTGAAGAAAGTAACAGGGAGAATGAATATATAACTTTTCATTTCACTTACTGTATATGTTTGTCCATATTAATAATTTAAAAAAAAAGTAAAATTGAAATAGAAGAATTAAAATAGAAGAAAAAGAGATTTTGACAGTGAGAATGCTAATAGTTCAATTGTATTGCAGAGTATTGCAGTCATATGTGAGACCATAGAGCTCCATGTTGAGACTTGGTAACTATGATGATCAATAACAATACATGTGAGAATTCAATTCTGGAATCTGTGAAATTGTTGTGATAGAGGCTTATTGTCCAGTTCTTTGTTCTGTCTTCCAGTCAATGAAATGTAAATGACTTATTTAGTACCTTGCTGGCATCATTAAAAATGGACAATTCGAACATTCCTTCCTTAAACGTCTGACCTTGAATTGACTGTAGACACTCATTCAGCCATTTGCCTGCATTGTGCACTGGTAAAATAATAGACTGAAACACAATTGAAGCATAATGAATATACATTTATTTAACATGATTTCTCCATTTCAAACTTCTACTTATGAACGCTAATGCAGACCTACTCACAAGTACTGTATAAACTAGTCCTCTCCCTGTCTCCCCCTACAAAATCTGTAGGCCTAATAATAGGCACTACGGCAGGCGGCCGGGGCTAGTAGCAGGGGGCCGGTGATCCACAAACTAGCCTAAAGTACAAGGGCCTAGGCTAAACCTGCACAAAAAATGCCTGTAAAGGCAATTTAGACCAAGAGTCTAATACTATTAGTAGTATGAATTTATTACCCACCACATCGACTGATTCGATACTCATACTGTAAGTTAAGGTTTATAAATAATAAATGTACAAGAAAGTCAATGTCAGTCATCCACCGCCTCATTCATTCCATGTGTTTTCGTTTGCAGGAGTTTGTTTACTTTTACGATAGAGGGCGACACTCCTTGCAGTACAATGAACTTCCAAATTGGACTTGATGGATTTACCGACAATTTACTAAAAAAAATGCTTATTGTTGGCAGGGGTTATGTTATATGCCTATGCAAGGACTGTGTAGAAATGGGAGAGCATTTTTTTAAAATTTTTAATTAGGTTTCGTGTGGTAGTATAGTTATAGTTTGCCTTCACGTTGTAGCTAATTGCATTCTCCGGTCCCCACCCCCCACCCCCACCCATTTTTTAAAATTTAGGCCTATATTAGGGGAAAAAATTGATATGTAGCATGATTTTTCTAAGACACTGAAGGGGTGTTTGGCAAAAGCTTCAATCCGATACAGATTATTTTCTAATATAAGTAAAATGGAATTCAATCCAAAAGGTTGAATGTTTGATGTTATCTATTTAGGTGAAGTATCCTATATCGACAAACAATCGAAAATGTTATCTAAAAATTGACTTTGTCACACCCCACTCCCAGATAACAACAACAACGAGCCTACATAGGTCTATGTCCACCATGGATAATGCTGCCATGGATAATGCTACAATGTAAGTATTTTTGGCAGCTTTAGCTTTATATTTATGATTTATAACAGCATCTATTTTCGTTATGAAGTTCCCCTCTCGATAAGTAGTTTATTTCTGTAGGCTGATTTTTTGTCTTATTGTTGTTTGTTTCTCCATGGTTAGTTAGACCAGTAGACAGCCAATCATTTTGACACCTGACTCGATCGTAGGTGACTAGGGATTAAATGGCGGCAGGGAAACGGTGTGATTGTTGTTTTGTTTGTGTTACTTTATTTGGACGACGTGCCTATAATGAAAATGGTAGACGTTTATGGCCTCTATATAGGCCTATGCGCAAGGCTACCCAATTAAATTTCAGAGGCCTTAAACATTTTTGTAAATAATCAAAATATATCTCTTAAATTAGAGAGAGAGGGGGAGGGGAGCGCCAGAGGCGCCGCTTCAATAAAACACGTGTATCCCTATAAACTCTTCACTAAAAATAGCTCATCAAAATTTAGCTAAAGTTTTAAAAATCATCTATCACCTTATTTTGACAACAAAAATAATAATAATAATAATAATGGATTTATATAGCGCCTCACGTGCACTCTTTATACATAAAAATCGGTCCCTTGCTTAAATTCGTCCCCTGATATCAGTCCCCCTCCATCAATACAATAAACACCACTGCCGACATTGGATCCCACCCGAACATTTTAAGGGGCTGAGGTGCGCATTTTTTATTTTTTATTTATAAGAATAGGCGTGAGATACCGGTAGGCCTTTCAATTACCAAACACAAAATATAAATATTTTGTCTGGCTTATTGAGATTAAATATTTAAAAATTTCATTCAATTATTTGTACTTGTTAAATCCCCATCACTAATTCAGTACGTCTCCAAATACTAGTCATAATAACAAAAAAAAAAAAAAAAAAAAAAAAAAAAAAAAAAAAAAAAAAAAAAAAATGGTCATGGTCATGAAAAAAGTAAAGAAAAACTTAAATATTCACAAAAAATTGTATTAATAAATATATCTTATGAAGCCCTTTATTGCTTGGGGAAATCCGTCACTGAACAAACATAACTCATTACAGTACAATATCACTCCCTCATTCGCTGCGCTCCCCGTGATCCCGGTACCCTGCTGAGACGCGTTTGGAAGCATTGTTCATGACATTAGACAGCAAAAATTGCTTCTGAAGCCGTACGGCGCCCCGTCATTTAACACAATTATTTATATATAATTCATTATTTAACATATAATTGTTGGTTTCATTATATATAAATAAGGAAGGGGTAACACTTCATGATATATAGATAATGAGTGCCATTATATATAAATAATGACATCGTAGGAAGCCATGGTATATAAATAATTCGTTATGCAAATTACGAAGTAATAAATATTCACCAGTGCTCTAAAGTTACAATAGGGCCTATTCACCTATCGAAAATGGCACAGCAAGGGATACAGCAGATTATTGAATCCAGTGGTGGCGCCAGAGGCTCCTTCCCCTCTCTCCGTCGGGGAAGACGAGTAAATTTTGTCGGGGAATAAACAAATAAAATAAATGTTTACATGTAATATTCATTTAGCCACCATATTGTTTTTATAGAACTATTTGTGTTAAGTTTTCATCACAATAATAATACAGTAATAATAATAATAATAATAATAATAATAATAATAATAATAATAATAATAATAATAATAATAATAATAATAATAATAATAATAATAGTTGAGATTAATAATAATAATAATAATAATGAGACTAATTAAAAATAATTTGCGTTCTGTTATGACAATGCTCGTTTGGATAGCCTGATGATTGGGATACATCGTGATAGGAGAAGCAAACTCGACCTTGACATCGTGGTTGACAGATTCGTGCACAATTTCCAAAATGTAGAATTTCACTTTGAAGAAAGAGGATTTGACATTAAATTCGATGGTTACATTGCCTACATGAAGTCATATTATAGTAACTCGATGCCTCAAATAAGTAAAAAAATTCGCCCCAGTAGTTTCTAGGGTCTCACATGTATGTTCCTGTATTACATTTAAGGAGTTTTTGCAGAAAAATGTCAGTAACTTAATGAAAATTTTCTTTCAATCTGTTTCTGATTGAAAGTTAATAACTTGTTCAATCCATTTAAATGAGCTATTAAAGATTTGAATTGAATTTTTGATGTTTTTCGATTTTATGAGACAGCAGTGTAGTAATTTCGTCAAAAAAATCCAAACCGAATCCTGATGAACTGTAGAGGGCTGCATTTCTATTTTACTTGCGCGCGAGTGAAGCGTCCTGTTTTTTTGCTTGACACACTGAACTGTCGTGCCCTGCTCATGAGTTGTTTGTAGTCAAGTGTTTGTTTTTGTTTCACATTAAAAGGAAGTCGTTCAACGTCGATTTATAGCTAGGCCTAAGCTTAGCCTAACCAAGTACACCGTATTGTAAAATAACAATGGATGATGAAACGCTAGTCAGGCCAGACAGTCCGTTTCTAAAGTCTAGGCCACATATCGATAAAAGGTAGGTCTAGTTTACCGGTAAGAACAGCCGACTTTGTGAAGTATTAGCCTGGGCCCAACTTTTGCACAGTCCTCCTGTAAACGGGCTGATCAGGCCTAGCGTTAGTGTGTAGTAGTAGCGTTAGTGTGTAGTATTAGTATCCAGGCAATATTAGGTGATCTTTCAGTGTCAAACATTATTTTACTCCACTGTCACCTGGAGTAGCAATTTCCCATTTATAACTATATAAGAAGGGCAATTAACTAGCCTAGAACATAATAATGTAAAATAAACCAGCAGAAGGTGATGACATTGCTTTGAAGTTTAAACAGCAAAAAGTGATATTTATAATTATTATTTAATTTATGTTATGTTATGGTAAATTTAATTGCGGATTTAACGCATGGGTATGGTGGCAGTGCATTGGAAAAAGATGATAGGGTCTAGGCCATATCAGGTGTATATCTGATGGACTCATATTTTACGGTAAAGTTTATTTTTATTATTAAATCTGTATAAATCCAGCACTCCTCAGTCTGTTTAGCAGCTCCTTATTTATACAGTTAAGTAGTAGTAAGGAGGACTAGACTGTAGTTTTGTTATTGTTGTTTGTGTAATTTATTAATATCGAGCTTCTACCCTATGGATTTTATATCAATTAATGTTCCATGTTTTTTATTATCTTTTTTACAAATCAGTGAATGTTCACCATGTTGTTTATTATTATTTTTTTACATGTTCAATTTTAATTTTTATAATATTAACTAATTTTTAGATTTTTTCTATTTGGATTTTAAGTTTTTGTATTCTGTTATTGCTGACTGAAGATGCTTTTCTTTTGTTTTTATGAAAGATAAATAAAGTCTAAAACTCTATTAGTATTCGTATGATAATACAAACAGCACAACTTTTTATGAGGAAGTGTTACTGTTTTGACCAAAATGCAGGAACACTACAATGTACTAACACACTATAGGTATTGGCTGTGATAGCCATATGGACTGTTAAAATTTAATAAAAATGTTGCTTCAGAAATAAAAAAATACTGTATACAATTAATCAGTGATAAGGATTCAAGTGACACTGAGATATTTGTCTGATTTGACAGTATAAGGATTAAGCATGATACTGACGTTGATCTTTAAGATAATAAAAGGATAAACAAACATTGCAACCACAACCTGTTGATACTATCAACATTTCCTCCATGATCAAACGGAAACAGGTCACAGAGACAAAAGGAAGAGAGGATTTAAGACAGGAAACCCTAAATTAGGAAGAGGGGAAATGCTGCGCCCCAAGGATGTTCACTTAGGCGTAGCAATTTACAACTTGGTAAAACATTAACAAGTCAGATTGAAACTCTTAATGAAAGTAAATTCAGTTGTGTTTTTCAAACAGGAAGAAGCTAAATGTATGTATTAATCTTAATTAATTTTACTTAACTATATTAAAAACTTTTATTTACATGTACTTATGTACTTTTGTAATTAGCCTGCCAGATATAGTTGCCACAGTGTGTAGTGTGGGAGTGATGAAGGAAATCCAGGAACCGGTTTTCCTTCGTTTGAGTGTACGCGTCTTTCCTGTTAATGTGCTTACTCATACATTACAGGGCAATGCCTACGCAAGGCATGACTTAATCATCACTCATGAAGCAAACATTCACCATTTTTTTTACATGAACTGTGGTGGCTTCGGCGGCAAATGCTTTAAAAAAAATAATTTCCCTATCTAAATAACGTTATTTTGATTGCCAATCCCTAATATTGTAAGTCTAAAAGCACAATCTGGACCATTATACTAAGCCATAAAAATACTCCCGTGAACCCTACAAGAGATTTTTTATTCCAGGACCCAGACTACAGTAAGGCTCTAGTCTGCCCGTTGGTTTGGACATGTCGGAACCCTCTCTAATATCTGGAGTCACCGCTGGTTATGTTTTTTCCATTCATTACAGTTGAAAAACATAATACCCAAATTGGGACACTGAAATGATGCATATTTATAATGTCCTAATCTTATAATATAAATTATCATACTGTATCATGTAGCATGAAAGTTATGTGAATTAAATATGAATTAAGGTAATATTCTGAGTTGGATTGGATTTATTTGGTGAAGTACAACGATGATAACCTGCACAACATTCTGAAAATGTGTTTCCAATAGGGTCTTTCTAGTGGTGAAATTCACCAATACACACTGGCAGCATATTTCATAGATAACTACTGTATGTAATAGATTTCTTATAGATTTTCACGCTTTGATTTAATATACAGTACTGAAATATTTGTTTTAATTAATGTTTTTCTTGAAGTGCAATTGCAAATTAGCATTGCTACAAAGAACAAGGGCAACATTAATTTAAAAAAAAAATCTATTACCTGTATACAGGTACTATTACAGTTTGTTTCCGGCATTAAATAATAATATTAATATAATTATTATTAATAATAATAATAATAATTATTATTATTATTGTAATAATTTATAATAATAAATAATAATAATAATAATTGTTACTATTAATATAAGTAATATTTATTTATTATTAGTTATATTAATTAAAATTAATGTTGATACTAATTTATAATTTTAATGACTTAACAAGCAATATTACTCAGGTTAAGAATAGAGTACTGTATACAGATTTTAAATATGTTTTCAACCATTTAGTCTGCTAATAGCTTACTGTATACAGTATTCTGTACATGAATATATTTAATGTTGTTTAATGAATAAGATATTAATTTGAATTGAAAATTGAATACCATACACTGGCAGAGTGGATTGTCATCAAATTCATTACACTGTTACTACAGTATTAACAGAATATTATGTTAGCTTAGAGAATACGTCACAAGAGAGTCTGTCTGGCAGGAAGAACTCAATTATCCTCTGTCCTTCATAAGTAAGCTTAGCAGTCAGAGAGTACTGTACAGTAGTTTGTATGTCAGGCTCAACAATGTTTGACCATATTTATCTGATGAGGTATACAGCATTGTAGGACCTCTAACAGATTTGGAAATGTATGGATATACAACAAATGAATAAAAAAATGGAGCATACAACAGTACATAACTGTTGAATAACACAATAGTTTGTATTACAGTATGCCAGACTGAACATAATGTTGGTTTGACCATATTTATCTGATGAAGTAGTATAGCATTGTGGGACTTCTAACAGACACAGAAAAGCATGAAACAACAGTAAATAATAAAAATAGGCTGCTAGCGGTAGCATGTGTCTACTGCTTTACATAGTTTTAAGCCATTACTCATAACCCTTCCACTTGAATAACTGTATAATTGTAACAGATTTACCTAGGCATGACATCAAATTTTGCATGTTAACTTTTGGAAGACTATCTTTAGTTTATGATGCATCCCATCACATCATTCCTCCCACATTACCTATTGTACTCTTAAAACTTACAAATGAGCCTACAGTTCCTTTGGCAGTAGACACAAAAACTGGGATAAAACTACTACTGTAAATGTTTGTCAGATGCAGTATAATGTTTGATCAGAGTTTGTCAAACTTTTAATACAGTAAGTAGGATATTGCCCAACTTCCTGTTTCAGATTTAAATTAAAGAACATGGTTTGTTTAAATCTGGTATCACTATCAGACAAAGTCTGATCAACAATAGTCTGAACTTGAGTCTCAACTACAGGCAAAGATTTGATAGTTTCCTACTGTACAATAACAAAATGCAATTTTATTGGATTTATAGGATATGTAAATTTGATAGTTGTTCCAGTTTTTTAATTTTCCAAATCCTTACAGTAACAAATGATGTGTTAATGAATTCATAGGATTCTTCATTAAATTAAATTAAAAGAAGTAATCAGTGGTTAGTATAATAATGATTCTACTGTATAAGCAATAGGTTTGTACTTGGTAGAGCTGCTTAATTGTACAATACAATTATTTTGTTCCTGTACTCATGGAGTTGTTATACAACTCCCTGCTGTACTAAACAAATACTGTAGTGTGCCATTACAAGGACTGAATGTGGACTGTAGTGTTAGGTTTTTGTTTAGCTGAGAATGGACAATATTGGTGTTTATTTACATTCTTGGAGGGGTACTTGTTATATGCTCTTTGGCATAATAATAATATTTATTGACATTACACTTTTACATCAGTGGCAGCACACAAGAAAGTGGGGCAGTCAAGCTTAAACTAATGAACAAAGAACAACAACTTAAAGCTAAACAAAAACTTAAAGCATAACAAACATTGCTTTTCAAGTTATGTTATACCACAGATTCTATTAAGGATCTGTGTTTATACTAACATGTAACCAGACACAGCCATGCCATAATATATTATATGATAGGGTTTTTGTTATTGAATTTTTGCCAGGACAACTGACTTAAAAATGTTACAAATAAAGGAATAACATGTAAAATTTTGAAACAGTTATTAGACAGGATAAAGATAGATTTGTAGCTTTTTCTTTGGTTTCACTATCAGACAAATTCATACTTTAGATGTTAGCCCAGCCTTGAAGTTTTCCACCCAGTCTAAAGCTAATTTCATGGCCCTCCACCCACCTTTATTAAACTCAAAACCCATCCTTAAAATCCATTTTAATAAACCAATGTGTATCACACACCCTTCTTAAAATGTCTGCCACCTCCGTAAGTTTTGTACTGCTACAGCCCAGACGAGGAGAGTTATGGTTGGCACTAAATGAATTATAAGTAACCAAACTACAGTATACATTTTCATGTTCATTTCACAGGCCTAAACTTCGCTTTAAGAGTCCCAAGCAGACTGAAGAATGGCTGGCCTCCAGGTGAGACAACATTTTTTATATTATCTAGTGTATTTTGATCTAATTGTGCGTACATTAGATAATATATAATGGCTTCTGTAGCCAGACTAAGTAAAAGACACTACTGCCTACCACCTACAGTAGTTGCGTTTAATCTTTGAGGTGTGTGAATTCTCACATTGTGTATTTCATTTTGTCTTTGGGAAGAAGGCATGTTATCTACATTATCTTCAACCAGGAGTACAAGTGTGTTTCTGGTTGGATACCAATGTACTGATTATTAGCCTCAACATCGTGAGATTCTCCCTAGGAGCTTTAGGCTCGCATATCATTATAATTTATTAAAAATCTTTTGTGTAATATTTACTGCTAATTGATATTCGTTTGAAAATTGAAAATGTCATTATCTATTGTGAATTCTTGCTAATACAGTATATTTTATATTTGTTTTCAGGGAGAAAACAGACTATACATATTCCAGAAGGTATGGTTTATAGTTGAAATTTTAATCTGTTGTAAAGTAATCTTGTAAAGTATGTACAGTATATTAATATCATATTTGAGATAAGTGTGTTTGCATTTTGTTGAACATAAACTATGTTGGAATCACAGATTCAGGACTAAAAATAGCTGCTAGCGGTAGCATGTGTCTACTGCTTTACATAGTTTTAAGCCATTACTCATAACCCTTCCACTTGAATAACTGTTGTAAAGTAATCTTGTAAAGTACAGTATATTAATATCATATTTGAGATAAGTGTGTTTGCATTTTGTTGAACATAAACTATGTTGGAATCACAGATTCGGGACTACTAGATGTCTGAAGTAGTCAACAATTCTATCTCTATTGTACCCTGACAATGATGGTAATGTGTCTTCGAAGAGGTGTAGAATACAACCACAACTTTTTTTAGATAAGTTTTAAGGTTTTTGATTAGGTCTCTCCTCTGATTTGTCATTTCTCATCTCAAGCTTTTGTTTTGTTTTGTTTGTTTTGTTAAGTGCTCAAAAATAATTTCGGTAGTTACAGTATATATAAATAACCATATCAGTTGGTAAAAGGGCCTTATTGATTGATGGATGGGTTGATTGATTGATTGATTGATTGACAAACATACTTCATCTTTTGTGAATAATATTTATATCTCATATTTATCTTAGTGCAAGTTATTCAGAATTGCAAGCACAAAAGAGTTTACACATCATCAGCAACAACTACCCAACGCCAATCATGTCTCGGAGATCACACGGCGGGGTGTACACACGAGACGAAACCAGCTCAACAAGTTCATTGGTTACTGGCGGTACACGACGTACATCGGCACGTATTGCTGCAAGGCAAGGACTCCCTCAAATAGTCAGTGATGTGAGGACGCCATCACGTAATGCATATACTGGATACAGTGAAAGTATTACGACAACAACCGTTTACACTGATGATGGCAGTATCATGTGCGATGAGGTTGACTCATCTGTCAGCTCGCTATCTAGTGTCAGAGGTCGATTATTTACAAATGAACAATATGCCGATAAGCAACTGGACCATCTCTATGGTATGTATAAATTTAGCATTTATTTTATAATTACCAATTTTTATTACTATTATTATTATTATTATAAATTAAATATACCACAAAAAATACAGGCACATGATAATGGTTCAATAAATAATCACAAAAAACTAGTGTGTAACCACTAATTTAAAACTACAAAAATATAAAATTTGAAAAAAATTAAATGAAATTATTAAATAGTATAAATAAATTTGATTACATTTATTATAATAATAAACAAATTACAAACCCAACATCTGTCTCTTATACACATCTAGATGTGTATAAGAGACAGATGTTATCGTATTATTATTTTAATCCTATATTATCTTAATCTTATTTTAATCCTATATTATTGTAATCCTATTTTATCTGTTTACTATTCACACAGGTGCTTCAAGCCTACTTGGATTTGCTGGTTATTCTTATTTATTTGCTTCAACTGAAAATGAAACCGAGGTATAGAACATTTTTGCGAAATTTGAAATGAAAATATTCGATAACCTGGTAACTACCACTGGGTGACAAGTACAAATATTTTAAAACGGAAAAACACAAATTGTTTATATTAAAAACAAGTCTTAAAAAACTGTTCAAATGTTTACATACAGTAAGTACAATAATTAGCAAGATCAGTCGTATACTGCTGCTATAAGAAGGGTATAGCTGCGCTATCCGCTGCGCGGTGCTCTATTTGTGACCAGCAAGCTGCTCAGGCTAGGCCGCTCGAAGTCCCCTAGGGAGTTGCGAGACATTGGCGGAGCTGTTTCAAAATAAATCCGATAAAATGGCCTATATTCAAATACTATCCAAGAACTGTTATCACTATAAGTACTACTAATATAATTATAAGAAAATTGACATATATAAAAAGTTCTACATCAAACTGATAATAATAGCCCAAAATATATAACAAATTCCTTAAATATTGAGATTGCCTGTGTGTTGTGAGGTGCCTAAGTCGTGTGGGGTGCAGCGCTTCGTATTTGCAAATAGAGGCGCTTTATAAATGAACTGATTGTATTAGATTGGAATAACCTAATCTGAAGCATGTACAAAAAGCAATCCAAACACTAGCCACTCAATATTTAACATAATACAGTACACAGAAAGTAATAAAAACACAACTTTACAGAATAGCAAATCAAGTTGTACAAGAGTATAGTATATATAATTCATCTAACCAGACACACTAATTGTATTGTATAATACCATACATACTGTAACACGCTGCTATAGTACACTGCAAATCCACTTACATACATTAACTTACAGTTCATAAATTAAAGAAATTTGATACATGTAGATATTCTATGTGGTGTTATTAGTGGTATTATAATTATAAGGTATTTTATTGTATATCGCTGCTGTTGTCTTTTATGATTGTTCTTTAAAAAAACAAATATTTTTATGTATAATTTTCTATTTTTTTTTCAAATAGATATCACCTTTACATGACATTGATAAGAAACTAGAATTGGTGATTGGAACTTTAGAAGGTGAAGAAGCTACTGATACAGGAGGAGAAGAAGTGGGAGGAGGAGTAGGATTGGGAGGAGGAGCAGGAGGGGGAGGAGTAGTAGGAGGGGGAGGAGTAGGATGTGTTGGAATGAATGAAATAAAAGCTATGATAGCTGCTGGAATCGACAAGAAAATATCTGAAGTGAACCACTTAATACTTGATCAACAGAAACAAATTCGACATGTAGGTGTTTTCAAGTTTTCAGTTTCTAATTTTTATGAAAAAAAATAAGCCATCTTGTAATTTCAATTGTGCATATGTATGTCAAAGGTCAAAGTATATCAATAAAGCTGTGGTATACACATGCATAGGTGAAAACATGAGATAGTTTGGTGTTATGTACATACTGCAATAATCTTGTATTACTATGGAAATAACCACTATCTCCAACAGTCAGCATTATCGCCACTGTCACCATACTGCTGTCCTATTATTATTAACACCGTATCATCATAATACAAATTTCTTTTATTTTTTATTTTTAGTGTTATTATTATTATTACTTTTGTTATTGTTTTTATTATTGGTTTTATTACTGTATTTTATTTTTTTTGTTGGCCCTTATATAATTTCTGTGTAAAATGCATAGAGGCGGTGTGCTATATGCACTATATAATATTATTATTATTATTATTATTATTATTATTATTATTATTATTATTATTATTATTATTAATTTGATTGATATATTCTTTTCTTCCAGCAAGAACTTATGATTGCAGAGCTTCAAGACAGATTTACCAAAATGCATGATGAGAAAACAGTAGCAGACATAAATAGCTTAGATGTAAGAATAACTCAGCTTCACACTGATTTACGCAACATCAAGTTCCTAAAGGAAGGCAGTAGCTGGGATAGCATGTTTCAAAGTATATCCCAGGAAGTCGGAACATTATCAAACAGTCATGCTCATTTGGTCACAGAAGTTCAGCAGTTCCAAAAAATGCTTTCAGATATCACACCATCATTGGATGCAAGGTTTGCTGATCACAGCAACTCGTTAGATTTAGCAGAACAGCAATTTTCTCGTGATGTAACTGAGCTCGGTGCCCAATTGCAAGTGGTAGAATCACAGTTAAATGGCTTACTGCACTCAGATAACCCTAATGATGATGACATTAAGATGTTAATCACAATGATAAATGCCCATGAATCAAACATGACAAAGCTACGTGTTGACTTGCGAGCAGTTAAGACACAAATAGCTGCTGTTAGTGATAAAGACAAAGGAGGCAAAATCCACGAAAGCTTAGCAAGTCTTCAAGTGGATGTTTCGAATTTGTCCAGTATTGTTGGTGGAATTAAAACAACAGTCAATCAACAATCGACAATCGTTTCAGGTTTAGAACATTCTTTGAAAGTTTCCAACATTGGGTTAAGGTCTGAAATTGAATCACTGTCAGGTTCCATCATCAGTCTCCAGGACCTTCAACAGAAATCAGCTGCAGATTTAATAATTAATTTTGGTCAGTGGGAGTCACAACTTGAAACATTAAACAAAGAATCTAAAGGTTTGCAGCAAAATTTATCAAGTACAGTACAACTTGTGCAAAATGATCTTGCAGCAACGACTGCTACAGTGTCACACTTGAAGGCTGATGTCATGCAGCTGAAGAGAGTACATGGAGATCACCAAGAAGAAATTCTTGCAATGAAAAAGACACCTTTTATTCAAGATCCTCACTTATCACCTGACTCTAGGTTGTTAGTCTCTCAACTTAGTGAAGAAACCAACCTTCTGAAGAATGAGTTCCAGTTTTTGTCTTCCACAGAAGATGAGCAATCTCAGCAGACATTAGAAAAAATGAACCAGATGATCCAAGCTCTTGCAGTAAATGTTGCAAACATCCAGAGAAGTATTGTTGAGGATGGGGATGTTGTGTCTCAAGTTACACTTCGGCATTTGAGTTCGCTTGTTGGTGACGTCAAGCATGTACAACAGCAGCTTGATGATGTACAGGTCACAGGTCAGCTGTCTAGTGAAGCAGAACATTGGGAGAATGCTGAGTTAAACCTTAAAAAGTTAAGCAACAAATTATCAACACTTAGAAATGAGGTAGATAGTATTGCATTGCTGCGAACTGATTTAGATTCGGTCATGATGGATGAGTTACCACAACTAAGGAAGGATGTCTTGTCAAACAGAAGAGATCTGTGGTTGAGACTTGCCATGATAAGTAAAGAGTATAATGCTAGTGTGGGCAAGTTGGACACCAAATTCACTGCTTTACAGGAGTCTTATTCCTCTGCTCAAATCAGTGGTACTATATCGTCAGGTGAGATACTGTCGATAAATGGCAAAATTACTGCTTTACAATCAGAATTGAATGCATTGAAAGAGATCCAAGAACAATTGGAAAACATGAAATCAACATTAACAGATTCACAGAAGGAAGTAATGACACAGAAACAGAGGTTGAATAAACTTGAGAACCAGATATCCACAATATCCAATTTGGAAATACCTGTTGACCTTAATAACAAACTATCAGCAATTGGAGAGGTCCAACAGGAAATTAGCCATGATATGAGTAAATTTAAAGTCGGTATCAAAGAAATTGAGAAGCACTTCCACGTACCTGGTACCAACAAATGGATAGATATCAGTCTGTTGAATGAACATGTCGGAGCATTGGACGTACAAATTGAAGCCATCCAGAAGGATCTGGTGATTTCAAGCACCGGTACTGGTGATGTTTCTAAGCAACCGTCAGGTCTTGACGCTGACCTCTTGAAGCTACAAGAAGATATTGTTCTTCTGAACACAGTCCTGGGAGTGTCATCAGATAGCAACCAAGGGGGCACACTAGTAACATTACAACAGAGGCTAGCAGTTCTAGAGGACTCAATTAGTGGAGAGGAAAAGAACACTCAGTTTGCAGTTGACGTATCAAAGGCATCAGAAGATGTTATTTTACTGAGATCAAGTATTGAGAAGTTATCAACATCTGTCAGTGCTGTGGAAAAGTAAGAAGCCTATTGCATTCAATTCTGTATCTGTCATTTTAATATCAACAATGATTTTATTGAGCTTGCCATCCCAAAACCAGCATCAGTGACAAAAAAAATGAAAATATGAATATTCATGTTCTCCACTTTATGAGTATTCATATTCTCCACTTTATGAATATTCATATTCTCCACAAGCTTTAAGATGATAGGTCATTTACTGGATACGACTTACTATTGACAAAGTTATGAGTAAAAGTATTGTGGCTTTTCTGTACTAAAGTATACAATACTGCCACATTACTCAGTTTAACATTTAGCGACACTATAAGGTCAGTACTTAAAACTTTTCAAAGGTAAGGTCATGGGCTGTGACCTCAGTGAATGCTGGTTTTGTGATGGCATGCCCCATATAGTACACAGTTTACATTATCCTAGATTTGAAATAGCAGAGGATTGCACTGTTTGTTTTTAACTGTTAGTTTTTAATGATGGAGAAATATCTGTTTTTTCTACAGGGTTGTTAGTGCTGCAAATTTGGATAATTTGCAATCAGATGTAACAAACCTAAAGACAATTTTTCAACAACTTCAATTGGATCTTACAAAATGTTGCAAGAATGGTTCAGCTATGGCTGCATTGGTAACTTAATATAAATTTTTAAAAATTAACTGTGATGTGAGTTGTATGGTATGAGTGGAATAAGTACTAACAGTAATAACAGTGCTAACAGTACTAACAGTAGTAGTACTAGTAATAGTAGTACTAACAATAGTACTAACAGTACTAACAGTAGTATACCTGCAGATGGTATTAATGTTAAAGACCAATCCACACTATGACATTGACAAAATCTTGTGACATGCCTAAATAAGGTCATGATGACATCACATCATGACCATATATAGCACATCGCGACTGTATATGACCATACAACAGGTAAAGCCTGGTTTCCTTAAGAATGTTACACTGTCAGGAAGCATCGTCAAAAGCTGTTGGCGATAGCATGTATGTAACGATTGTAGGGAAACCAAGCTTTAGTATCTTGCTTGTACACTATGGACATTACTACTAATTTGTTTAATTTTATGTGCTAATATTTTAGCTGTATTTTAATTGTATTTAAATTTCATTAAATATTAGTAAGCATAATTGCCATTAAATACTATTAATTTTAACAGTTTATGGCTGATGAATCTAGTGGCATCTTGGACTTCTTGATGTCACGTTTTGTTGGAAGAGATGAATTGGATCTGACAAAGCAGAAGTTATCGGCAGGTGCTCTCAATATGAATGCAACAGATGAAGTCAATTTACAGGTATGAACTATATACCATCTCACCATGTCATAAATGATCAGTATTGTAAACCTTAGTTTTGTAATTGAGTTTTGACAGTAATAACCATTTGACTTTTAACAGGTTAGGTTTTCATCACATTGTTATCACTTTAGGTTATTTACAACTATTCTGATGCTTATTTCATCAGGTTGTAATATCATGAATAATAACAATATAGTGTAGTATGATAACCCTGTGACTATATCAACAGTTTGATTTTATCACTTTTTAACAGGTTAGGTTTTCATCACATCATGAATATTCTGATGCTCATTTCATCAGGTCATAATAACATAAATGGTAACAGAAAACTATAGCTTGGTAAACATGTTTGTGACAACAATACCAACAATTTGATTTTATCACTTTTTAACAGTTCAGGTTTTTATCACATGTTATCACTAGGTTATTTACAAAATCATGAAGATTCTAATGCTTATTTTATCAAACCTATAGACCTGTTTGTGACTATATCAACAATTCATTTTTATCACTTTGTTTCATCACAATGTTATCAATTTAGATTATTCGTAACATCGTGAATGATCTGATGCTTGTGAATAATGCAGACAAAACTGGTATGGTGGACTTTGCATTAGAATCAGCTGGTGGCAGCATTATCAACACTCGGTGCTCCAAGACTTACTCCCCCAAGACAGGACTACTTAGCATCTTTGGTATACCTTTGTGGTATTCTTCTAGTTCACCGAGAATGGTTATTCAGGTAAGTCCATCATTATTTTAATGTATTTTAGTTTACTTTTTCCACTGTCACAAAATACACCAAAAATGGATTTCTGTACAAGGATTTCTGTACAATGGTAAAATATGTAAATCTATATACTATACATTTATATAACAATATCATAATAGCTGTTCAATTAAAATGTACACTAATAATAATAATAATAATTAATATTATTATTATTATTATTATTATTGTTATTATTATTACAATTATTACAATAAAATGTACTCTATTATTATTATTATTATTATTATTACTACAATAAAATGTACACTAATTATTAGTATTATTATTATTGTTATTATTATAATTATTACAATAAAATGTACACTAATTTTTATTATTATTATTGTTGTTATTATTACAATAAAATGTACACAAATTATTATTATTTTTATTTTTTTTTATTACAGCCTGACATGAACCCCGGCAACTGCTGGGCGTTTGTAGGGACTCAGGGTTATGTGGTGATACAGTTATCAAACTTTGTCAAGATCACTTCCTTCTCAATGGAACATATCCCAAAATCCCTTTCCCCTACTGGCAACATTGACAGTGCTCCCAACAACTTCTCTGTTATGGTAAGTGACAGTCACACTCACTAATACACCTTAGCCCCCCCCCCCTTTGATATTGTTGCTATGGTTCCGCAAAACAACAGTGCACAGCCTTGTTCTGATTGGTCAGTACTTAAGTTTGATTGACACTCTGAAAGGGTCCGTAACAGAATAAAACAAATTGGTCACTTAGAACTATGTCCAGATTAGGCCAAAAAAAAAAGTTATTGTGTTGGCCACTCCCCAACCGACCCAAATTTTACGAAATCAGGGTTGGCAATTTAAGTTTTTTTCTTTTTTTTCTTACAAGGAACAATAATTTTTTTTTCATGAGCTTATAAGGTTGGAATAGCCTTGGACGAAGATAGGGGGCCAAGGCCTAACCTATTTTGGTGCATGGTATGCGATGCGAATCCAAAATTGTTGTATTATTTGTGTATTTTTCTACTTTTTAAGCATAAACACATTTTTGTTTAAAAAAAAACAATTTTCCTACCGACCTACCCATTTTTTTTATTTTGCCAAAACGTAGCCAACACACCAAAAAAATATTTTTTTTTGGCCTAATAACTGACCTTAACACACTGAAAATGATTTTTGCTAGACAGAGTAAAGAAGGCATAAATAATGAAACCCTTGGGGAAATGTCACATTATACTATATAATGTTGTTCT